TTCAATAAGGTATACAGAGAGAAATGCTCTGAGCCTAGGAATAAAGGCACAGAATGTACAATTTTTTTTTTTTTTGGTTGTTTTTCTAAATGCCTAAATTTAGAGGGGAAAAAGGGACACTTTTTCTCTGTGATTTTCCTTAACTTTTCATTTTTTCTCAGAATATATGCAAAGGGTTAATACCATTTACATTTCTTCTGATAAGCTATCTGTCCTGGACAGAGAAACAATATGAAATAAAAGATCAAGAAAAATCACTGACATTGTATTTTTTAACAGACTCTCAAAATAGGTCTGAACTATGTGAACCTAGGTTCTTCAGTTTTTTATATCTTGAAAGCTATATACAGGTAGATAATTTTCTTTTTTTTGCCTCTCTCCCTCCCTCTCTTCTTCTCAATGTGGTTTTGGAATATATAACGCAAGTACCTGGTACAAAATTTAGAAAGACACAAAAAAGTTACATAACTAATGTCTCTGCCACTCCTGGCCACCTCTTCTCTCAGTTCCCCTCCACAGGGTCTTTCTTATCAGTTCCTAATATATCTTCCCAGAGATGTTCCATATTTATGTAACTACATACTTATGTGTGTGTGTATCCCCCTATATAAATAGAAATATACTATATCATTAGCCTACTTTACTCACTTAGAAATTTGATATTACCACATATAAATTCAATTCTTGTAAAGTCACCTTTAAAAAATAGCTACATAGCCTCCACAGTATTCCATTATAGGAACATATCATCACTTATTTAACCACTTCTCGACTGAGATACATTTAGTTGGATTCTAATCACCTCTGCAATGACTTGTAAAGAAGATTCTGATGTGTTATAGGCAACTACTGACTAAACAGTGGATAAGCTGTTCTTAGATGCTAATGTAATTTTGGCTAATAGTTCCAAAGTGTCCATGAAACAAGAATACAACTCTTTAGCTAAAACCAAAGGTTATTTTAAGGTCAATAAAAGTGAATTTATCTAGAAAAAATTCTGTACCATATTAGTTCTTTTAATCAAGGTGAAAGTAGAAAGAAAACCTTTTAAAAAATTAAATTTCAACTGATAATATCCAATTACTGTTGATGCAATGAAAATGACCAATTGATAATCACTAACTTACCCTTCTCCCTTCAGCTAATTTTATTTATTTATTTTTTTACCTTCAGCTAACTTTCAATTACATCCTACAGAAAAGACTAGAAAATAAGAAAGAACTCAGAACTAGAATGGATCTGTGTGCATTAGTTGCTCAGTCGTGCCCAACTCTTTGCAACCTCATGGACTATAGCTCGCCAGGCTCCTCTGTCCATGAGATTTTCCAGGCAAGAATACTGGAGTGTGTTACCATTTCCTTCTCCAGCAGATCTTTCCAACCAAGCAATCAAACTCAGGTTTCCTGCATTGAAGGCAGATTCTTTACTCTCTGAGCCACCGAGGAAGCCACCAGAATGGATCTGATTCTCAAATTAAAAATAGGAAGCCTTTAAAAATGGGACAGTGGGTAATATAACTTCACTGAACAGCAAATGCATATAATTAGAGGAACTTATTCTTAAAGGGAGACACTATATCTTTAAAAAGACACCTGCTAATCAACATTTGGATGACTGCTGTTAGCCCTTTCCCATTTTTCCTGATGAAACTGAATTTCAATAGTAGAATTCCACAACTGACAGTGCTATCTTGATCAGCTACAACAATGCTAACATGATAATCTGCGTTCCTGTTTCTAGGGAATTCCTTTTCCTGGTATCCAAGACCCCGTCTGAGACTAAAGTCCAGCCCTGAAAGCCAGTGTGGGAATTCACCTTTATCAGCCATGATTAGACTGTATGTCAAACACTGATCTAAGTGCCAAACCTAAGAGACAAAAATCCCTTCTCTTATGGAGGCTGATTTCCTGACAGAGCTGACTAGTGTTTGTCTTCCAAATTCTTCACTGCTCTGCTATATACATTCTGGAACATGAGCAATCCCTCTGATATTCCCCCTGGTAGCCAACTGCTGGCATATGACCAGGTTTATGAAACCCCTGGACACAATTCCTTACTTACCTTGTCTAACCCTTGCTATCACAGTGTAAGCTGCTGTATTCAACAGATCAAGTGCCATGTTTTTGTTCCTCTCCATCTGATTTGCTGTGCTGTGGATCATGGAAGAAGTCAGCTCTTTGGGAAGACTGTTCAGAGCTCAGATCGACATATGGCCTCAACATGAATCTTTAGATTGCCCTGTCCTATACGGTAGCCACTAGCCACACCTGACTACTGAGCACGTGAAGTATGGCAGGTGCTTCAAGTGTAAAATACACACTGGATTTCAAAGCAAAATAAAGAAAATGAGAGAGAGAGAGAAAAGAAAGAAAGAAAAAGGAAGTACAGAAGGTGGGAGAGAGATCTCAGTAACTTTTTAAAATGCTGATTAAATGTTGAAGTGATAACACAAATATACATATATTATAAAAATTAATTCTAGCAATTTCTTCTTTCTAAAACGTGGCTATTAGACAATTTAAAATTATATACATCATTTGCATTATATTTTTTTCTAAACTGTGCTGTTTTAGAATTGTAACTAATGGCAGCAACAACAAAGTCATTATTTTGAGAGGATTGCCTGCATATCTAGATGTCATTAGAAAAATATCTAAAGATGAAAATTCCTCTTTATAGAAAAACTGCCAGCTAATAAATAGTGGAGGAGTGCTAGATTACATCATCACCATTTTACAATCATCTATCAGAATAACTGATTCAGGTGAGCATCATCAATGGATGCTAAGACCATTGGCAAAATGGTTGTTACAAAAAAGGCTATTTATCCAGGGTCAAAATAATTTCCGAGAGATTATTTACAACCTGCAAAAACAGGATCCAGTGGCCACCACTTTATTTATTTATTTATTTTGTGGCCACCACTTTAACAAATAATCAAACTTAGCAAATGAGTAGTGCTACAAACTGACTTTTACACGCCTCTTGACATGTGGTAACACGAGGTAAAATTACCTACAGAGCATTTGCCCTAATATTTTATTGTGAAAATTTTCAAACATACAGCAATGATGAAAGAATTTTATAGTGAATGTCTGTACCTATACCCCCTAATATTTTACTATACCTAGTTTATCACATATTCATTTTATCCTCATGTGTTTCAAAGTTAATTAAGGCCATCAGTAAATGTCCTCCTTAAACGATCTTTGAATTACTCTTGCCAAACATATTTAAGCTCAATCTAACCAAGCTTCCAATCCTACCCTTCAGTTTAGGTGAAATACACAGGCTACAGAAAAACAAGTTAGTTCACACTAAGAGGAAAAAGGAAAGCCCAGAATGGAGGATGCTTTGTAAGATGAGATGGTTTAAAAAATTTATGCCATGAAAGAAAAATTTTAAGTGACTAGATTTAAGAGTCTAAAGAGACATAACAAATTCCAATTTGTCAACCTAAATAACATTTAATTTTAAAAAAAGCTAATAAATCAAGGGTATGGGATTAACAGATACAAGCAACTACACATAAAATATATAAGCAACAAGGATTTACTGTACAGCACAGGGAACTACAGTCGGTATCTTATAATAATCTTTAATGGAAAATAATCTGAAACATATATATAACTGAATCACTTTGCTGTACACTTGAAACTTAACACAATATTATAAATCAACTACACGCCAATTAAAAATTAATTCAAAAAGAAACTACAAAAAACATTCCTTCAACAACTGAAGAAATGTGAATATGGACTGGATATTAGCTGATATTAAGGAATTATAATTAATTTTCTCAAATGTGATAGTAGGGGCTGTAGTTAAGTACCATTGTCCTTTTTTAAGCAGACAAATGCTAAAGAGAGAGAAAGAGCATGTTTGTATACATCCATACATTTAAAATTATTTTATTTATTTTATAGGTATAACACAAACACAGCAAATTGTGAACAATCACTGTATCTAAGAGGAGGGTAAACAGGTGTTAAGTGTGCTAGTTTTTCAACTTTTTTGTACATCTGTAACATTTCAGTATAGAAAATGGGGGCTGGTTAGTTTAAAAAATTCATTGGGGAGAGTATGCTGTTCTCTTTTGTCTGCTCAAGGCTTTCAAAAAAAGTGATCTTTGAAAAACACACACAAACAGGTCTCCATAACACTATTTCCACCTCAGAGCCAATGCTATTATTATTATCTAAGAGTCTTCAATACACAATATTTAGATTGATAATTTAGTCTGTAAGCAAAGGTTTTAATGCTACAGTGTTACAGAAGAAGCTCAGTCACAAGGTTAAACTTGAGACTGACCTCACTGCGACCAGTCTTTGTAATGTGTAGACTGAAACAGTCTGTCAAAAACTTCAGATTTTACTTTATATATCACCTGTTAAAAGTATCCTGCAATAGATCTTGCATATCCTGGTAACTTCTGGCACAAAGGTTTCTGTGATCTTTTCCCTTAAGATTTCATTCTATTCAAAGCCCCGAAGTCAAAGGGGCAGCTCACTCTCAAGTCCAAAGACACATTCATTACCCACAATTAGAATTAGAAACAGAAAATTATTAGCAGAAACCACTGGATATGGTATACTGTGAACAAAATAAAAACAGTAAACAAGATTTACAAACACACATAAAACTAGGTATGAAATACTATATGTACCTTTAGTTGAGAGGGGAAAATAAAACTGACCACTGACAATCATGACCATTCTTTCCAATTATGGTTAGAAATGTCATACAACCTGGAAACAGAGAGGCACCTTGGAGGAAGCAGTGAAGATGACTAGATAATGCTGAACACTAAACTAAAAACTGGTATAATAATCAGGGCTTAGGTTTTACAGTTAAAGAGAGTTTTCTGACATAAAGGAGCAACAGCAGCATATGAAACTACCTTGGGGAAAGACAAATCAGCACACAGATTCAATAAAGTAATTAATTAATTATACTCGTCCTGTTTCAAAGGCAATTAAAAAAAGGAAAAAATTTTTTACCAGGGTTTGTCTTTTCAAGTTGATACCATCGGTAAAATGCTCTTTTCTTCTGTTCACTCAGGTCTGATCCCTGCTGCAACAACCAGTGAGAGATCCGGCTCTGGCTGATACCTACGGAGAAAGAAAAACAGCTGCTGTGGGTGCTGCAATGACAGGGAAGTGAATGAGAGGTCTGCTGGTACTAGGTTACTGGGTACTTTACTCTCTCACTCTACAAGGAAGCTGCAACTTGAGCAAGGCTTTTAATACTGGGCTTCTTTGTAAAAGCTGACTGCAAGGATAGATTCAGAAATGATCTATTAGAGGTCAAAGCATTTTATTTACCAAGACTTCAAAATGCTTTCTAAATTCATCTCTAAACCAGGTCCCGAATATGAGATAAAGTCAGAAGTTGATTCAATTTGTGCTCCTTCAACCACTGTCACCACCTCCACCCCAATCTTGATTTATATGACATTAGAACTTTTACCAGGTATTTAGAAGGAAAAAAATCAAGACAACACATTATTGATACTGATAAAAAGATTTAGGGGCTGAGAAAGGAGAGGTCATTGAAAATACTCTCTTCAATAAGGTTTCTGGATTATGTTAACTCATTTAGGCTAGCTCGCTTGTTGATTTATTTTCAGGCTTGTTAGTACAGATAACTAACAACTGAAAGATTTACAGCTATGTACAATGGCACCTCTTAAAAAAATCCCAAGAGGTAAAGATGCTCCTTTAACAAACTTATCCAAACATTGCACAGAATATAAAGCAGTAGTTTTCAGCTATCACTAAGAAGTTCTTGACAGCAATTAATAATAAATGTGAAACACCTCCACTTGAGAGTAAAAAAGCATGTCTAAAACTTACTAGGAAGAGAATAACATGCCCCTTCTGGTCATTATAGCTATTCCAAAAATGAATAATTCAACATACAACTGACAAAAGCAAAGAATAGGAAATATAAAACTGTCTTACAAGCCCATAAGGCACTTTCCAAAAGACCATTCAGCAACCATAGAGGGTTAACAGTATCTAAACTCTCACAAGGAATTACTTATGGTAACTGGATAGTATTCAATACCACCTGTGAAAACACCTGTTTAAAGTTATACTGCACAATAGGAAGAGTGGTTATCATGAAGTAATCACACGCCCAACATGAAAAGAAGCAGGAGGTCTAGTGATCACATTGAACTCATTAGAAAGAAGTCCCTAGAGTAGAGTTCTGTACTTGTGAAACTCCACATTAAAAGAAAATTTGAGTCAATGGGGGAGGGGAGTTTTGTTAAGGTTGGGCTGAAGCATGGTTCTCTGATAGGAAACACCTTTCATTTTCAAAAGATGAAATTCAGAGTTTTCCAAAAACAAAGGGATTATGTTCTCAGATCATTCTCACAGCAGTTTTCCAATGGGTTGAAGATCTATGTCATGCAGGTGCTGGCAGCTATCACTGTATGCTTGTTCTACGAGAATGCAAATTATTCAGTATAATTAAACTGGCTGTGTTTACGAGTGCTTTCACTGAAAGTCTGGTTTCAGGCATTACACTATTTTTTTTTAAGTGACTTTTTAACAAGAGTGAAGAAAACAACCATTTTCCACCATGAAATTAAAACTGATTTTCATGTCAACAAAATGAAACTATTTTACAAGGATTCTTACACTGGCATCATACTACTCAAAAACAGAGGGAATCTGAGGAAAATCTGTTAAGAAAAAAACAAAGACTATATTGGTTCTGGTACCTACAGTATTACATCTTCCTCAAACAGTCAGATCACACACATCATGAACCACAGCTGACCAGACATCAGAGCTGCTCAAGCTCTGGCTCTGCTGCAGCAAGGGAACAGGGCAAGACCCCAGCAAATGCACAGTGAATTACGGCACATTCATGTAATAAAATCCTGGGCAGAATTTTAAACTAATGCTCTAAAACAGCTAGAGACAAACAACAGAAAACCAAAACCAACCAAACAAAAAGCTGTCAACTCCAAGCGTTGGCAGGGAATGGAGTACAGGACACTTTCATATAGCTGATAGAAGGGTAACATATCAGGGCCCCTTGCTAGATATACTAGATATATGCTAGATATACTAGATCTACTAAAAAGATCTATTAGATTTACTAAATTTACTAGAATCTACTAAAGCTGAACATATATGATCCAGCATTTGATTCCCACAGAAATGTGTACATACCCAAAAGAATGTGTTAAAAAAACACATACAGGAAGGCTTTTATGAGCATTTTCTATCATAGTCCCTAGTTTAAAAAAAACTCAAATACCCAATCACAGGAAAATGCACAAACTGTGGTATTTTTGTATTCTACCATACACTACTATAGACTGTTACTTATTGCTGTTGTTTAGTCACCCAGTCATGTCCAATGACCCCATGTACTGTAGCCTGCTAGGCTTCTCTGTCCGTGGGATTTCCCAGGCAAGAGCACTGGAGTGGGTTTTCGTTTCCGTCCCCAGGGGATCTTCCTGACCCAGGAATTGAACCCACATCTCCTGCACTGGCAGGTGGATTCTTTACCACTGAGCCACCAGAGACTACTATACCAAGCAGAAAAAGGGTAAGCTACTGTCATATGCAATCACAGGGATAAACCTCACAAAAGTAATGTTAGCCAAACATAGTCAGACACACACATAAAGAGTCATGCACAATACTATATGATTGAATTTATGTAAAGTTTAAAAACAGACCCAGTTTATCTATATGTATGATGATCAGAATGGTGCTTAACTGTGATTAGGAGGGAGGTTAATGACTGAAGGCAGGATGAGAAAGACCACCATAGTCACCAGCACTGTTCTTGAACTTAATCTGGATGGTGGTTGCATGTGTGTCTTCACTTTGTAAAAGTCGTTAAACAGGGTACTTTTCTCTTTACATTGTATTTCAATGAAAAAAAATTTTTTTCCCAAAAAAGTTTTAAAAATTCTATGTATCGCTAAAAAAATGAAGTATGTATCAATATGGAAAGATGTCCATGATACATGGATAAGCACATAGTTTAGTGAATACATTTACTTTTATATAATCTATGTTGTTTTATATAGTAACAAAAGCTCATATATAGCCAAAGATACACTATATGAATATACAGTGGTGGACTCTCCCTCCATTGTGCATCTCTATACTGTTTTCTTACTCTGTCTACAAATATTTATTAAGTTTATTTTTATCCTTTCCCTTTAAACACAACATACTTTATTGGTTGCTTTATAAAACACTGTAATTAAGTTAAACAAAATATAAGTGCAAAAAGAAGTTAATTTCACCCTTCCCTGGCCAATTCCACTCTGGGGTAAGCAATGTTAACTGTTAATATATGTTGTTTTGCAATTCTATGTGTAATAATTAATTTAACAAAACAGAGAGAAGTTAATAAAGAATAGCCTCCTGTCCAGTCTTTTGTGAGAGGAAGAAATAAACAAGGAACTTCTTCTTGTAAACTTAATCTCAGTTTTTATAAGAAAACAAAGTAATAAATCAGGTAGCTTTTTCCAGAAAAGGCACTATAAAACTAGAGCATCTACAATAATACATTTTACAATGATATTTTTTAGTTAGCAACTTCTTCTGGGGCTGTTCCATGTCTTTTGAACTCCAACTGAGCTAGGTGTCAAAAGGCCCTGCAGCTTCTCTTTAGTGGGAGAAAATTCTCCTAATTCCCTTTACCACTGTTTCTACTGCTGAAAACAATGTCATTCTCTGAAAGTTTTACCTCCTCAAAATCTCTTTTTTACCTTTCACAGGGCAGATGAAAAGAGAAATCTACATATAACCTTCATATACTAAGTCTAAAACTAACCCCTGATTAATTTCTTTCCAATAAGTAAGTGATCACATTGTGTTCAAAGGATGAAAAAGCCTCCCTGCCCATCTCATTCATATTCCTTTCTGAGCTTCAGCTCTCTCAGGCTCCTTCCAGTTCCTCAAACACCATGTTCCCTTCCACTAGAGGGCTCTCCACCACAACCCATTCTTGTCCAACTCCCCAGTACTACAAATTTCAATGTTTCTTCTTCCTCCAACTTCCTGTGGCATGTGACACTCACATCATCTTCACACTTGGAATGCTGGATACAAACCCCAACACAACTTTTTTAGCCAACTTCAGGGATTGCTGTTAGAGCCCCAAGATTCCATGTTTAAGCATCTTTTCTCACTACACTCTCTTCCTTTGGTCATCTCAACTACCAACAATCATTGTTTAAAGCATCTAAATATCAGTGACTTCTAGCTGCTGCTGCTGCTAAGTCACTTCAGTCGTCACTGGAGCACCAGACTATTCCTTTCAAACCATCTGCTAGACAGCATCATGAGAATTTCCCACAGGCCTTCAACACAGTAAACTTGATTCATTAGCCTCCTCCTTTAAATCTGCTTTTCTTCCTGTGTCCTCCATCTCAATTTTATCTTCCATTCTACTCATTCTCTGAACTCTCACATGCTTACTAAATACAATCCGTTCTCTTCCAAAAACTCTTTGTTTTTCCAGCCCTCATTCCTGCAGTTTGGAATCTCAGCCTCCTTTGCCTAGATAACGGAAATAGCTTTGATGAAAAGGACAAGTCATCTAAGATACATAAAATGAAAAATCCTCAGGTTCAGATCCTTTTTAATTAGAAAAAGTGGAATGTTCTTCATGCAGTTTTCTACCTGAGAGCTACAGTCATTTCTGCAACTCACCTTCCACACTGTGAGAGATAGGTCTCAAAGTTTTTAAGTTAGAACACATGCATCCATTCCCCACAAAAATAATTCACAAACTCAGAGAAAAAAAGTCCTTCCTCTATCTTTAACCCTTCTCTCATTCCTTAAAGGTATATTTATTTAGTGTGAATCTTTCCAATTTCCTTCCTATGCATTTAATACACAAGCATGTACATATATGGGCTCCCCTGGAGGCTCAGACAGCAAAGAATCTGCCTGTAATGCAGGAGCCATGGGTTTGATCCCTAGGTTTGGAAGCTCCTCTGGAGAAGGGAATTACCTACTCCAGTAATCTTGCCTAGAGAATCCCAAGGACAGAGGAGACTGGCGGGCAGTTCATGGGTTGCAAAGAATCATACATGACTGAGTGACTATCACTTTTACATATA